GGGGGGGGGAGGGGGAGGGAGGTAACGACGAAAAAGAAAGCCAAAAAAAATAGAGGCATCATACGAAAACGAGGTGTAAATAAACAAACAGCATAGCATGTGATTTAGTACGCGGTCCCAAAAAGGTACGCATGTAGTAAATGACCAAAAGGAATATCCATAACTTTCATTGTCATTGTCATTATGTTCAACGCACCAAGTCAGAAAAAAAGTATTTACAAAAAAAACTTGACCCATGGTTCATCATCCGTCATAATCATCTAAGCATCACGGAGCATGCTAGCAACACCAGCCCAAGTCTCCAAAACAGTGGGGCGGATCTGGTTAGCAGGGAGCGAGAATCCGTATGTACCGGTATCCCTGAGCTCATAGGTGTACGAGTAGGTAGCATTACCCTCGACATCGGTGTAATCGGTGGAAGAGCCGGTGGTGGCGTAGAGAGTAGAGCAGCTGGGGCCAATGGTGTAGGCAGTTCCCGAGACAGCGCGGATGGCGGATTGAGCGCGGGATGCGAGACTGCGGTGCTGAGCGTCGTTTTCGGGGCGGAGACTGCAGTTGTAGCCGTAGGGCCAGAGGATGTATTGGCCGTAGGAGCTAGGGTGGGGTGGTTAGCTTTAGATTTGGCGAGGGGAGAATGGTGATGGGAGGGGGGGAACATACTGTACGTCGAGGTAGAGGCTGATTCCCCGCGTTCCCTTTAGAGTATCGACTTGAGCTTTGATGGCCTTGAGCTCGGGGGTGTCTCCGGCGGCAAGACCCTTGTAGGTTTCCGAACAAGGGCTGGTGGAGGCTCCGCCAGTCACCTCCCACTTGTATGGCCAGTTGCCTTTGATACAATGTTAGCATGTTGATCATACGGTGCTTTGATATGGTGCCTTACGGTTGATATCGCGGCCAACACATGAGCTGGTGCTGACAGTCTGACGGTTCTTGCGCCAGAGACGGTCTGTGGTCTGAGAGTAGACGAATCCGTCAGGGTTGACAATGGGGGTGATGTAAAAGTCGAACTTGTCGACGAGAGCCTTGATGCTTGAGTCGGAGGCATACTTGGTCAGAAGCTGCCACGCGAAGTACCTGAGATGGAGATTAGTTTGTTGCTTCAATAATAATCTCATGGCAGAGTCGCTTACTCAGTAGTCATGGAAGTGATCCACTCTCGCGCGTGAACGTTTCCGTGGATAATGACAGCAGGCTTGGATCCCTTGCCACCGCTGCCCCAGATGTGGATACCAGTCAAGGTACGTCCTTGGACTGAGTTACCAAGGGTCACAATCTCGGAATTGCTAGTGTAGCCGGCCTGCAGATCGCGGAGGAACTGAAGGTGATCGGCATATGGGTGGTATGCTGTGAACCACGACTCGCTGGGAACTATATTCGGTGAGTGTGTAACCTTAAAAACACCGAGCGAATTACAAACCAGCATAGATTCCCATCTCGCCTTCTTCCTTGAGGGCAGCACCAACATCCTCATTGATGACCTTGCTCTCGGAAACCAATGCAGTCAATGCCGCAACGTTTTCGGGTGCAACAACTACATCCATCTCGGCAGACTTGCCAGGGTTGAGGATGTGGGCAGCCAAGTTCTCAATCTGGCTCTTGACAGCATCGGTGCTAGAAACGCGCAGGACCTTGAAGCCATTGTAGTCGACCTTCTTGCCAGCGGTTGGAACAGCGCTACCCAAGGCAGTAGAGCCAAGGAGAAGGGCGGAGGTAAAGATAGTAGTCTTCATGATGAGATATGGAGACACTGACTATGTAGAAGCAAGGTGCAGCATAGTATAGGACGTGGGGAACGCTGCTTTTTATGCTTCCCCATAGTCGTACCTGGTTACGATCCACCTTCCTGTCAAGTAGCATCACCGACATGTCCCTGTCTCTTATTCGAGGTTGTATGAAATAGGCAGGTACCCCATTTTCGTGGTAGTCGACTGCACGAACGGGAGATGTGCACTCGAATAAGCCCAAGATAGGCTCTACAAGCGCGGGAGATGGTCATTCGAAGGAGGTCGGAGTAAACGCCTGCGCCATGGATGGAGGATTAATTTATGGAATCACTTGGCGCGCTGGTAGAGAGACGTGGGCGCGAACAAGATGATTGGTCCGGAGTCGTGTGTGCTTACCGGGTTAGGCAGGTGTAGGGCTCGGAAATCCCGGAGAGCATAATGGCTGGTCTTGGCTATGCGATAGGGCAAATCGAGGCGTGCGTAGTTTGAAGACGTGATCTTGTCGTGATGGGTAGCCAGTCGACCCAATGCAGGGTAGCAAGGACATACCTGCTTCGAAGCGATGGGCTGAAACGGGAAGGAGATCATTGGAAGGCGGTCGCCAAGTAGTAGATAGGCATGCACATTATAACTAGCTTGGTCGAGAGCGACAGGTGCAGACGATCAATATGTCTGACGTTTGCTCCTCCTAAGAAGGCACACCCAGTTCCCTGAGCACGTTTGCGCAACCGATTGTGAGCCATTCGTCGACTTGTTCCTGACTCGTCACCCAAACACTCCCCAGCATACCCCCCGTATTCGCACTTGCACCCTCTGTGCTGCCACTCCGACGCGGAATGATGATTAGGTGGTCCGCCCACATGGCGACATTATGTGGAGGTGTATTTTCTTTCGCATCGGGCGGTGACTGGCACTGGGTCAGGAGTGCAGTGTAGACCGACAGAACAGCTGAGGCTGAGGTATTCTTGAACCCCTCTTCGAAGTGATGAACAAGGTACCGAAAAGGGACTTTCTTTTCTTTTTCGTGGACAGCTGAAATGAGGTAGTCGAAAGCATGCGGCGGCCCCTTTAAGCCTTGGAGATGCTTGTGCACCCTGCTGCAGCCACCCCTTTCACCACAGTTGAAGATGACATACATGCTTGGGAATTGACGCAATACCTGGAGCATGACGACAAAGTCATCCGCATCCAAGGCTTCATGCTGACGCTTGTACGAGTCTAGTGTTAGCATGAGGAGTTGTGGTCGGTCGACACAAAACAGGTTTAGCGCCAAGTCATGCGTCTCATTCAGCTGAGTGATGATAAGTCGCTCGTCAGGGCAGAACATGTCGCTGCCTGGTCCCCATTTCCGCGACTTGTTAAAGCCATGATTTGTGGCGCCGACTGTATGTGGTTTTGTTGCTAGTGCTGGGCAGATGCGGAACTCGAGCTGAGCAGTCATGAGCGAAACGCTTGGCTTGTGGTTGTATACCTGCGCACCGGATAGCCGTCATCCTCCACTGACACAATTTTGTGATGGCCGTATACAATGGCGCCCTCACTGGCGAGTTTGTCAAACGTTTCCACGAGGTCTGCTTCTGAGTAATCTGCCATGTTACAGATGTGGAAATGCCTGAAAAGTTGATGGCTCGGAGATTGTCGGTGAGCTCTAAGATGACAGGTACGAGGCATAGTCGGCCCGTGCACGCTGCAGATTTAGTGAGTCCATGGTAAGTAATTACAACCACGGAAAGAGACACGACCACCAAAGATAGGAAAAAGCAATCAAAAAATGGACTGTGTATAGCATTTTCCAGCTAGATAATCCAAAGCGAGACATATCCTGCACTAGAAGAGCCTCCCTCGGTGAGTGAGAAAGAACAAAAAGTCGCCCGAGTAGAAAAGAAAGAAGTTAAAAAAAAGCCTCTGTTAATTATAAAAGTTATGCCCCTGTCCGAGATGCAGACTCGTGATTGCAGAGGCCAAAGTGTATGATGAAGGTGGACGCAGTGCCTGGGTATCGTGGTATCATCATCAAAGGGAGTGTAGCTATGCGGCCTCGGGCTTAGCAGAAGATGGCCTCTCTACGAGGACATAGTCAGCGCTGGTGGTCGATGAAGGGGTCGGTATTTGTGGAATCGCACCTAGCATGTTTGGCGTCTTTTGCGCAAGAGGGCTCTCGGGCGCCTGTGGTTGTGCCTCGTCTTTCTGGGTGGTATGCTGGGTGCCACTCTTGGCTGGTGGGGAGTTGCCCTTTGCCTGGTTGAGACGCTCTTCGGCAGCGCGCAGCCTTGCTTCGAGGGCCTCGAGTTCCTTGGTCTGGGTGCTGACAGCTGCCTTCCTGGGCGGGGGTCAGTGGGCTGCCTGCGATGGCGGGAAGGAGAGAGGAGGGTTTACTTTTCATGCACTGTCCGGTCGAGGTCCTCGATGCCACCGTCCAACTTGAACAGGCTGTCGAGCTCGGTCATGAAGTTGCGCGCTATGGTGCTGCAGGCATGATCAGAATAGGCGGGGAGCTATGCTAGCGCCGGGGGAGCTCACGATTGAGGACGTTTGTTCGGCTTCCAGCCATGGTCGGGATCGTCCATGGTGGCGGGCTGTGCAGAGTATGAGGAAGCCATGATGAGCAGTAGGCGGACGGTGTGTAGTATGTGCGGTGCGGGAGCGGCTCTGGAGAAGGTCGGGGCTGACGAGGGAACGAGGGGATATATTTATGGGCTAGTGCAAGGCGAGGGTGGTAGTAAGTCGAACAAGCAGGCAAAGGGCTCAATCGTCAGACTTGTTTCATGCAGTGCTGGCGGGCCTGGTAGAGAAGAAAGAAAGCATAATGCGGCACCCCTGGAATAGAGACCGCAGGGCGATTGCAATGTAAGTATGTAGGGGAAATAGGGGACGCCCATGCTCCGGCCTAATTGGGGGGCGTAGATCAGTAGTGGAGCTTGGGAACGAACGAGGGCTTGAAGATGCGCCGCCGCGCCCGAGCCCGACGAAGGAAATAAGAAACAATAAGAAGGCAGAGACGGCGCGCGTGGGAGGCAATTGGCGCTAGAGCCGTTTGCTCGCGCCGCAGAGGCGGGCGGCGGACAGGCGACGGGCGACGGGCGACGGGCGACGGCGACGACGGTTGAGATACGGGGAGGGTGGCAGGCAGGGCTGCACGTCACGCGCCTGGCGG